TGTGGCTCCAGAGCTGCAAGTTGGCCACCCCTGCACTATAGGGTCAGTCATAGGGTCCTAATATATATTGTCTTTTTAATCATCTTCCTCTTCCTTCAGCCAGCCAACAATTTGTAATGTGACCTAGAAGGTGTTATACTTCTAAATAACCTCCAGTAAAATCTTGGTCCCACTGAAGTCAAAGAAACTTCTATTTGACTATAGTGGGGCCAAAATCTTGTTCCTATTAACTTGATATCAATTAGCTCTTCTGCACTGTGTCTTAAAATACAGGTTACTGGAAAGTATATTGGTATAGTAGGTCTACATGTTTTGCATTAAAACCAATGGTCTTTACTTGGTTTCTACTAAGCCCTTGCTCAAGAAAAGCCCGTGTTACCAGTGGAAGTCTGTTAGAGTATAGAGTTAGTTAAAACTGAATAAGGACTATATATGGTCCCTTTGATTTTGGATCATTGTACGTCATGGCAATTTGGTTCACAGTTACAACATTCTTTTGGTCCTCTTTGTCAAAATTTCTTTATAAATCAACTCTGTTTAAAAACTCTTTCTTTTTGATCAAAATGCAAGGGGTGCTGTCACTGCTTGTTCAGGAGTAGTTAAGAACTGGAACAGCAGCAGGGTAGCAGTTCAGAAAAAAGTGCCTTGGTAGAGACATACAGGGTTTAAATGACGGGGAAGTGCCTCATCTGAGTGCAACCAGATTACCTCTAGGAAGTGTTCTCTATCTTTTGCTTTCATGACTACCAAAAGGCTCAACACCCCCCCCCCCCCCCCCCCCCCCCCCCCCCCCCCCCCCCCCCCCCCCCCTTTTACCGGTTTACCGGTGTAAGTGATTGGATACTGGTCTATACCTGTAACAGAACAGTAGTTTGACGCGCACAGACTGGTTTAGAAATGGCAGAACCCAGTCTAAGATTCTGCCCCCTTAGGCAAATGTGTGTTCTGTTCACTACCAATTTAAACTACACAGCTTACAGAAAAACACATAACTTAGATTGATTCTACCTTTGGCTTTTCAAATGTCTGTACCTAGCCCTCGTTTCCTTCCTTTTCTGACCTTCTCTTGTACTCTACAAAGAACAAATGTAATACTTGCATCTGCTTTCTCTTATTTAAGGATGTACCTTTTACTTCTGCCGTTGTGAAATTTCCACATCATCTCCCCAAACACAACCAATATCCAAGCCATGGGCTTGCAGCTTCTGTTAAGCTTACCTTTAGGTCAGACACATCTCTGTAGCACTGCTCAGAACGGGTATGATCAGACAGCTGTACATTCCAGAAACATGGAAGCTGGTAGACAAGGAAGGGGTTCTGTTTGATGACTGCATTGAAGATATCCTAGCAAAAAACACCCCCAAAAGCAGAAAAAATAATCAGGCACATCATTATCAGAGACAGGTGCATATATTCCTCTGAACTGCTTGACTTCATCCTGCTCTCCTTTTGCTGGAGACAGGGAAAATAGTGCGTTATTACATTAGCTGTCAGCTCCACAAAACCTATCTTCAAAATTCTGCTTTGGTTAAAGGCGCTGTCACCCTGAGGGCAGGTCACACTAGACCAGGGGAAGAGGTTGTCTTAACACAGACAACTAGCAGATTGCTGTTGGATTTTCAAAACATATTTTGTACCACTGGAAAATAATAGTGTGTTCCCCCTACCCTGGACAGTCAAACATGGCAGATGGTGAGATGTCTGCTGTTACAGTAAGTACAGCAAGTTTCAACAAAGAAAAAAAAGAGCAATCTGGGCACTTACCCTTCTTTAAGAACAAAGAAGTACTGGAGTATTACTTATTACTCTGTTGTGCCATCTGTAGTTGTAGATGTTTCAAGGAAACATATGTAAAACAGTCCTACAAATCAACTTACAACATATAAGCCAAACACTGGGTATGTCTACATGTGAATTTATGTATGCCTAAACTTAATGTACCTTAGCCTAATGTAATAATGCTTGCGTTTACATGTGGACACGCCTTAGCCTAATGTAATAATGCACATATCTACACATGGACGCCTTAATGTGCCTTAACGTGGCTCGCTGGGCAGCCTGCCCTGGTCAGTACCCCAGACAGCTCCTGGAAGCCTGCAGCAGCATAACCAGGCAGTGCAGCCCAGAGCCGGCCAAGAGGGTGGGAGCTTCCAGTCCCCCTGGATGTGGTGGGCCCAGTGCAGCCTCGGCTCTAACCCCTCTCCCCATGTTTCTGCCTCTTCAGCATTGGACAACAAGAAGGCCAGAGCTGAGCCCATGGGGCCCTGTGCTGCCGCCGGGCACCACTAATAAGCGGCTGGTGGTGTTCTGCAAGGTACAGACGCAGGAGGTAGAGTGGCAGTTCTGGCAGCAGTGATCCCTACCAGTATGCAGTAAGTTAGCAGAGGGGGCAGGAGGTGCAAGGGCTCCTGTCAAAGCAGAAGGGAAAGAGGGAACACTTCCCCCCACGACTCCCTGCAGGGGAAAAGGGCAGCCCAGCACGGGCAGGACCTTTGCTAGTGGCTCCCCTGCGCCTCTTCCTTGGGACTGGTTTGCGGCTGGGCAATGCAGCCCTGCACACTGACAGGGACTGCTGCTGCTGGTACTGCCACTCCAGCTCCTGCGTCTTGCAGAACAGCACCCGCTGCTTCTTCTTCTTGGCAGTGCCTGGCAGCAGTGCGGGATCCTGTGGGCTGTGCTCCAGCCCACTCAGTCACAGTGTTAAGGCTCTTTAAGGCGTTCATACATGTTTAAGGCGCCTTAACTAATCGTGCCTAACATCGTAATTTTTAAGGCACATTAAGGGCCTTAAAAATGAATTTGCCTAACATCGTAATTTTTAAGGCACATTAAAGGCGCACACATGTAGACCTCCGTCCTTAATGTGCCTTAAAAATGGCTAATGCGCCTTAAATCACCACGTGTAGATGCACCCTCTGTTCTGTCCTGAAGTAGGGGCACAGTGGGAAATGGTGTGGGTGTGGATGCCCTAGTAGTTAAAGTGCCAGATTAAGATTCATACGATCTGGATTCACTTCCCATTATAACTTTCCATGTGACCTTGTGTAAGTCACTTAAGACCTGATTCAAAGGCTACCCCAATGGGAGTCTTCCCATAAACTTTAATAAACCTTGGATCAGACTCAGAACAGACTCTTAATCTTTCTGTGTCACAGCTTCCCATTCTGTAATACAGGAATAATAGCACTTCCCTATTTCACATCGGTGTTGTGAGGGCCGCTGCAATAATGACTGAGTTTAGGGTGCTGCAGTAGTACAGACAATAGCAATATTTAGAAACTGCCAGGACTGGAATCACCCATAAAAAAGTCCATAGAGAAAGAAATGTTATTTTCAGACTTCAAAAGCCTGGAGCCTTTTGTTTCACAGAAAGATAGGCTGAAATAAAACTGTAAAAAGGAAAAGGCTCCAATTGTATCCCTTTGAAAATCAATGGAGATGAAAATTTTAGTGCGCTAATTTCAGTGCTGTGGATAAAGCTCTAGCCTTACATTCAAAATCTCCCCCACAATGATGGTGCACCAAGTTCTGTGTGCTTATAAAGAGAGCATGGGATGCAACACAAACACCTCCCATCCCACATCCAAGAAGCAATGTTTCTTCAAGACTACTTGCTCACCTGGTCAGCCAATGAGGTGGACAGCATGCTCATTAACTCTCTTTCAGCTGTGAGTCTCCACATCTGCTCCCATTTCATTTTTCGCAATTTATCGAGAAGTAGCAAGATAACCCCTGGTAGGATAATGCAATACAAGGAAAGAGAAGAAGCCGTAATGAAATGTTCAAGCCAAAGACCACTGTAGTTAAAGCCCAGAATGTTAGCAAATTTCAAGTGATTGGGAGCCATTATTGTGGTAATTTGTCAACCCCTGGGTTTGACTGAAATTGGGAAAAACATTTTATGACACTGGCTACCATCAAAAATTAACTTAAATGAAAAACAATTTATGAGGAAAAAAAAAAATACTATTATGTTACTATGGTGCCTGTAGGCCTCTCAGGATTTGTACCTCATTGTGTCATAGGACTTCTCTGCCAAAGAGTACTTAAGACCCAAGAAGGACAAGACACAATAGGGACCTAGAGAATACCATGGGAGTAGGTGGTGAGAGGAACACGTGGTGACAGGAATAAAACCAGAGTTGCATATAGCATTGTAAGGTTTTAGGACCTCACTATGGCCCTAAGACAAAACTTCTATCGATTCTTGAGGCTGTGTCATGTCAGCTGTACTCAAAATGTAGAGAATAATCCAAGAGCTAACAGAAAGGAGAAAGGCAGCTCATCTAGCTAGCTCCTGCCATTTTTACAAAGAACAGCAGCTTACATCACAAAAAGACCAACTGACATAAATGGGTAGATATCTGGGATGAAATCTTGGCCCTGCTGAGGTCAATAGGACTTCTGCCATTGACTTCACTCTTAAAGTGTAAAATATTATGTAGAGTAGGTATAGCAGAATCTGGATCCTTGTATTTTTTTAATTACTTAGGGCCATGGGTGACACGTGCCCCCCCCCCCCCCCC